TTAATTTTTAGCTCACAAAATTTGGGATTTCGGAAACATTCGGAAGGTGTTCAAATCGTCAGATAAGTGAGTGAAAGTGACTGCGCGCTAGTGCTTTACGCCGCTGCGCGGGACGCCCAAAAAACATTAGCGCGCGCCATAATCCCAGCGGGTGGTTTCTCTGACCTAATATCCGAAATCTGATGCGAATTACACCGGGTGATTTGCATAAACAATTTCCCGGAAGTGTCAAGCTTAGTATTTGAGATGAATTAGACGGCTTTATATCACTCGGGACAACAAAACTGATGAGATCCTTTTTTATCTTCCTTATCATTATTGCACCACCACCAGGTCAGAATTTGATAATTATTTTCACATATTTGAAATCAGCGGCTCAAGTAACACTTATTTAGAAATTTTAAGGCCCATTGAATGATATACCACTTTCCGTGAAAAACCCTAAATATATTTATTCATATTTTTTGCGAGTGGAATACTGGGTGGACGCTTCTTTATAAACCTCTTGACAAGGAAGAAAAAAGAGAAATAAATAAACTCATCTCGGTAATATCCAGTATGCAACCTATAATTATGATTATTAAAAGGAATGCAAGGGAACTCCTATCAGAGTTTTTGAGTACAATCGGGACAGCTTCTTCGAAGACACTCCGCTTTTATCTTTGGAAAACTCGAGCGATCAATTCGCCCTCAATGACGAAGTAATGACCCAGTCTTATCAAATATCTACTTTGAAGCAGAATTTAACCAAATTCGTCAAACAGAATGTCCAAAATTTGAGCAAAAATGTTCGGGACCAAAAGCTAAGCAATCTCTGCGTTTCGTTCTCTGTCACCAATCTTATTCGATATGCGATGAAAAATGATCTAGGCTTCTTCGATCTCAATCAATCGCACAAATTTGAAAATATCATGTCTTCTCTTAACTTGGTTATCTATCCAAGAAGTATGGCTGGATTGAATTTGAATCCGAGTCAACGGGAGCTAGGAGACCAACTGTCAGATATTGAAGTTATTCTTAAACGTGTCTGCATGGGAACTTATCTGATGCCGAGCGGTTGGCATATTATCAGGATGCTTGGTCATTTTACCGATCCCCGCCCAGTTGAATCAGACTGTATTTGCAAAACAGGTTTCTTTATTAACCCTGTCCGCATATCGACCTAGGTGTAGGTTAATTTACTTTTAAACGAAATTATACTTTTGGAAAAACGACATTTCTTCACAGTTGACATTTGAAATTTGATCGTGTCCAGGAGATAGCTCAGCCTTTAATCTTTCCATTCATGTCCTTTCGAAATTTTTATCACGACTGAAAGACCCTCAAAAGCCCGACCTACGCGTAGGTCGATATGCGGGCAGGGGTGACAAATTTTTCATGCGGGCAGGGATTAAAAGATAAAATTATTCTACGGTTTTAGTTTATCTTCATCATGATTATCAATTTCACAGACCTTTGACTGTAACTGGAGTTATCTTGAGAAAAAATGAGACTTATCCGATATTCCACCAGATGACGCTCGATTCTATTCAAAACGGATGTTTTATCCTTAAGAACAGTCAATCGAGTGACTCGATGATAAGAATAAGAAGGACAGATCCATTTTACGTTCATGAAGAAGAGTACTTTCGACTTTGTCACCAGAACGAAGGAGCCTTTTATTGGCAAGACAATTCCATGGTTGAAGTCATAAGTTTTAATCAAATGGACACTGATAAATGGTATCTTCTTCCTCAAGCCTTCTCCCTAGAACTCAGACCAAGACGAATTTCCTCGTTGTTTTGGATAGCAGCGGTACCATCGGCAAAATTATCCCGTACATTAACCTGGTGGAAATACTTCAAATTTGTTCTCTTCAATGATGTTCCCGATTTTATGTTGGGAGTCTTAGAATCATGGAAACTTATAAAAGAAGACCCTCTTGCTCGCAAAAGCAATAATTTCTTTGAAATCGTTAGAAACTTCGATAATTTCAAAAATAGGGTGACAAAAGAGACACAGATGGGACTGTCAGATGCAGAGACATTCCTTGCCTTTAACGAAAAAATAAACGCTCGTTATGGATATATGGGACCGCCTTATCGAAAATTTTACAAAAAACCAAGAGTTGACTGTCGAGTACGAAATGGTGTTCTGACCATAGGACATTATCCGCTTCAAAAAGAACAAGAAGTAGTGAGACCCATTTTTCGACTCGTCTTGAATAACTGAAATCTGCCGAGTGCAGTTATTTTGTGATTTGAAATCACTGATTTCCGGACCCATAAAAGGCTTTTCGATAATCCATATCAATAAAAGAATATTTATTCATTTTTCTCATCTGAAAAAGTGTCTTCTGAATAAATGTCGACTTACTGCTCAGTTACATTGGCTCGGTGAAGTTGTGGGCGACCGCAGCGTAAAATCAGCAAAATTTAGCAAATTTTCTCATCACGAAAATGGTGTATTGTGTGTGATGGCCGCAATTTCGCGTCGCCTAATTAATCCATCAGCCTCCCTTACCTTCCGCATTTCAAGGCATTTGCATAGCTGTACATTTTCACGTCAAACGCATAAGATTTTTTCTTCCTGATTCTAGAGCAACACATTCTAGAGATACTAAATATTTTCTATGAAGACCTTTATATGGATGCTTGGCGCGATAGGAACGAGTTCAGATCATTTATGAAATTATTTTTCTATAATTCAAAAAATACGACAAATTTTTATTCAACTGAAAATTTTTGAAAGATAAGCTTACTCAAAACTCTTTATCAGGCGTTTCAAGCTTCAATCTCGACCCTACTCCACCCAACAACTACACCACCTCCACCAAGGGTTGTCCCTGTTTCTTCGATCAGAAGAAAACCACTGAATGCCCTTGCTGCGTCGATGAAAATTCCTGCCCATGCTCCGTAAGTGCCAATGCCTCCTCTTCCTAGATGGATTATTTTTCAAATTCAGTGGCCTTACGACGACAGATGTGGAGATTGCAATACCGGACACGGTTGCCTTCCGGAGCCGATCAATATTGATACGCTTTCCGATCGCGGTTGCACTTGTCAGGATGACGATATTTTCGGGCTAGAGAAGGGGAGCTGCGCTTGTTGTACACCCTACAGTCATTCCGGGAAGCACATTTGTCCCTGCGCATATCCTTATCATGTAAGCCTGAAGCTCGAAAATAACCTCCTAAATCTCTATCTTAGCATATGTGTGTCGAGTGTAGTGAAGCCCAAAGCTGCGGAAACCACATCGAAGCCGCTCTGTACCAAGAACTGTACCCAAACTACTTCAAACCAGTCCAAGCATCGGAATCACTAATGCTCTCTGACGTGAGATCCGATCGTGAAATCGCGCCGGGGTCGAACATCTGCCACGAAATTCCACACAAGATCGAGAACGGTTTTACAATTTGCGACAAAATCCCAAAAAAGGGAAAAGCATGCGTGTTCTTCTGCGATGATGGTTACCAAAGAGTGGGAAATTACAGGAACGAGTTTTTGATGTAAAGACTTTTTGAGACTTCTTCAGCTTTTATTAATCTTTTCTGATAGTTTTATCATCGCCATAAACTTGATAATAGGGCGGAGTGTGTGTGCTCGGAGCTGGGATGTAACTGGAATGATGAGCCGGGCTATGAGATGCCGTATTGCGTCAAGGATGCCTGTGCAGATGAGCCTTGTCAGAATGGAGGCACTTGCAAAGCTGATGAAGGAAATGTTTGTATAGAAGCATTGATATTTTGACTATTGTAACTTACAATTTGTAAGTATCAAAGAAAATCAGTTGAACAACATGAAAAAGATGGATTTACTTGCGATTGTAAGCCGGGATACCTTGGAACTCTCTGCGAAGTCGAACTGATGGCGGATTTTGTCGGCGGTCTATTCGGCGATGATATCATGGAAGAACCAATGAGCTCACCAACCGACGCTCCTGAGTTCCGTGTCGTTTCTCCTCAGACCACGACTACTGCTGTAAGAGAATATGACGAAGAGGAAGAGGAGGAGGAAGAGGAAGATGTTCAATCGACTTCTGTTGGGCGATTCGCGAGACGAAAAAAATTCGGAAAGAATAAAGATCGAAATACGTGCCCGCCCTTGGACGGCGGCGAAAATGGAGGACTCAGGTGCACAAAAGGCTTTAAAAAATCTTCTACTTGTCATTTGGTCTGCGATGACGGTTTTACTCCGTCAAATACGAAGTTCTCTAAGCCCAGATGCATCTGCAATTCCAATAGGAAAGAGCGCGAAAACCATTTCTCTTCAATAATTGTTATGATAATTTTCAAGCTCGAAGAAAGATGCTCCTGGGACCGGTCAAACTCGTTCAAGCTGGCAAAATGCTCCGCTTGGCCAAAACCAGAAGGCGAAAACGTGAACGACGCGATTGTCAACAGCGATAATAGTCAACGAATGTTCGTTCAACAAACGAAATGCCCTCCTCTGACAAAACCGGCGAATGGAAATGTTCGTTGCACAGAAGTCAACAAAGATGGTAATGAAGCATGTCAAGGCAGCTTTATAAAGAAATTTAAGGGTCTCGATGTCAGTTTTTGTGCAAATCTGGATTCAATGTTTCGAAAGCTAGATTTGCCCGCTGCGCATGTGTTGATGGCAAATGCATGTGGAACAAGGTTCGTTTTGGCTCTAGAAAAAGGCGTGAAGAAATTTTTTAGGAAGAATTTTACACAGAACCACTTTGCGAGGACAAAGATGAATGTGCTCTTGGAAATCATAATTGCGCCGCGGACATGCATTGTGTCAACAAACCTGGATCATTTTTGTGAGTTTTCATGATAAAAGAAAGTCATTTCTTGACAATTTTTCAAGTGCGTGGAATCTGATTCCCAAGTCCTCCGACGATGCGATTCAAATCCTTGCGGACGAGCTGGAATTTGCTCGATAACTGCCGCGGGCTACAGATGCGAGTGCAAAGATGGATTCAGATTTGCTCAAGGAACATGTGTCGATGTTGACGAATGCGAAGTTGGCATTGATAAGTGTTTTTCAAAAGCGATGTGTGAGAACTTCGAAGGTGGCTATTCGTGCAGATGCCCATCCGGCTATGGTGATGGTTTGACCGAGTGCTTAGGGTCAAAGTAAGCGACTTTTCCAAAATTATCCACCGAAAATGAACTTCAGGGACGATTTGACTTGCACTCAAAAACGCAGTTTCCGAACAAATCCCCTCCCAAACTACGTTGCTCCCAACGCTTGCTGCCTTTCCACCCCGTTCAACACCGATTTGAACTGCTGCTGCGAAGGAAAATTGCACCCAATTGATGGCTGCCCCTGCATGGCCGCCGATTATTCTGACATTCAATATTAACGACTCATTGCATCCACTGTTTCACTTCGAAATAAATTCGGAGTACATGAAGAAAAAAAAATATTTTTCTCTCTTATTGTAAATAATTTCAATAAACGTTTTCTTCCTTATAAAAATTCTGGATTTATTTCAAAAGCCTTTAAAAGTACAGATTTTCATTGAATGGGCAGTGTAAATATGATGCAGAAAGCAGTTAATGTTTTACTGTCGTCTGTGATAATGCGAAAATTTTTCAATTCTATATCCATTTTTATCGTCGCCGACGACTTTTCTGTAGCTCTGTTCTCGGATCATTTGCTGGATCTTAGCGTACTGTCGCTGACTCAACCCTCGATTTCGTTGAGTAAACCAGCCGCGGGGGCCGCGTTTCAAGTGACTGTGGCTGGCTCTTCGTACTGGAGTGGCGGCGATGATGGCGAGGAGGGTCGAAAGGATGAAGAAGATTTTCTGGAAGTTCATTTTTTCGTTTCTTTTCTTTGGTTTTTCAGTTTTCGAAGTTTTTTGGTTCAAGATTTTTTTGGTTCTGGTTTACTCGAGTTTCGAGCTCGTTTATAAATGCGTCAGGGATCAATATAATTAATCAAGAATATTTTCGCGAGAAGAATATCACGGTCATTTTCAATACGTCTCAATAGAATCATCCGACGACCAGCTTACAGAGATCAACGAGGACAATGGCAGAAGTCAAGTGATTTCCACTGATCAATAATTTAACAGTTAACGGAAACTATAATTGTGGTTTCATTCAAGAAGAATTTTATTTTCTGAATTCTAGAAAGGTCAATCATGAGCATCTTCGTCTTCGATCTTTTTTCTGTTGGCAACTTTCTTCGGTGTCTCCATCTCTTAGTGATCATATCAGTAGGAAGCTGAGGAAAATTATTGATTCTTGTTTTTTGAGGAATTTTCTAACAGAAACTTTGCTTTGATTTATTTTCCAGAAAGTATTAGAGATCAGTGAATGTGTTGAATTTGTACCAGCCCCGATGGTGGAAACGAAGACATTTGACGGCATTGTCGATCTCAGATTGTTCTCGGCGCTTGAAATCTATGACTTGAGTCATGTCACGATTGAGATTCGGCGCAAGAAAGACAGGCCAGATGTATCGAATTCGACCCGGGTTGCTTCTTACCCGGTGATAAACCGCTAAAATATATGTTTTGATAAAACCCCGTGAAGATCGCTACCATTTATTTTTCCATCGGAAAAGTGTTCCATCAAGTTTCCGAAATTAATAAATAAGCAATTTACCATTGGCTTTACCGGGTACCACTCGCCGTCATACTGTATTTCAAGGCCACCGGTAGAATCTTGCTTTAAAATCGTCATCATACAGTTGTCATAATGGGACTTTGTTCCCATTTTTCCAGGGGGAGTTTTCTCATAAAAAAGAGCATCAAGGATAGCTCCATTGGGATCATTATTGTCGAGCAAACTGCCAGAAGTGAAGTTGAGGGCTTCTTCACAGAGCTCTAGAAGAGAATAGCCGAGATTGGAAATTGCTTTCAAATAATCATAGAAGACGGTGTCAACTTTGTTTTCGTCCAATTTGATCGAGTTGTTTCTATTCAAATATAATGCCTTTTACGCTAATAAATACAAACGGTGAATTTTTGAAAGCTTCATCTTGAAAAATATCGCCCTCAGCTAACAACTTCCCTTGAGAATCCTTGATTTTCATCCTTTGCTCGTCTGTTGCTCTGTAAATATTCTCAGAAGCAAGCTCCAAGCGTTTGGTAAGAGTTTCCGGAACATCGTGATTTTTGAGGATAAAGAAACCGAATTCGCTAAGTGCCCTAAAAAGTTGCTCTCGAGTTTCTTCATCTCTCTTTTTTAAGAGCTCAAAATCGATAATTGGAATTTCAAAGGATAAATACTCTGACATGGCGTTTTTTTTAAAATTGACTTCCGGTTTGACTCTATCAAGGAAAATAGCGATCTACAGTGATGATCCAAGTAGAGACCTTACAATAGGGTCCAGGTTGGAATTTGACTCGGAAGGAAGGTTTGGGTTTAAAGGTTGTAAAAGCAGTCGTTATAAGTAAAAGTGGCTGGTCCCGCTGAGATCTGTCCCTCTGGTGGCGCGTACCACTCGCGTGTCACCGATAATTGCTCAGCACTTTGCGCTCCGAGCAGATTTCAGATTGAAGAGAGAATTTGGCCTTTAGGGTCAAGCAAGACTCAGTTTTCATCATGTCATTTGTCAACAAAATTTATAGAACGCTATCAGGTTAGATCAAGTTTTTGAAAAACAAAAAAAAATCAACAAGAAAATCCAATTTTTTTTTGTGAAAAAAATCAAAAAAAAAAAAATTAAATTTTTGCGAAAATTATTGCGTAAGCATCTTTAAAATGCACTTATCAACCTGCTGTTTTACTATAAAAAATTGGTAATTAAATTAAAGAATATTTTTGAAATTATCATTTATGCATTTTTAAAGCAAAAAAATACATATGTATATGTTTATGTTCTATAGAAGACGTCATTACTGTCAGCTTTATGCTGAAAAATAAGCAATTTGAGTCATTTCTACACATATCAAAAAGATTCAAACGGATTATCATCAATTTTTCAGGTCGATCAAAAACGAATTGCATCGCCGTCCTCCTCCCGTTGACATCAGTCGTCGACGAAGCCGTCCTGGATAATCGCTCAAAGGGAAATTGTCAAATTGTCTAGGAATCTAGTAATTAAGTAGAGATCGTTAAGTATTTTTTTCAAATGGACTTAACTTCCGTAGAAGCATTAATAAGCCACTAAAGAGGCTACAAAAGTATTTTATGATTGTCGCGAGATTGGCATCTCGCCCTCGCTGTCTGAGGAATGTTATTCCTTTTCGAGGCCTCGTTAAAAATATTCAGCAAGGGCGCTCTTTTTGTTTCGATAACTGAGTTTCGATAACAATGAAGAATAAATTGACACCTGCATTTCGTTATTTTCAAATAACTTATCAAAAAAACGAAGTCTGTTAATAGGGACTACCTTTGAAATTATTCGTTAAAAAAAATAAGAATATAAAATAATCATAATTATAAAAAATATCATTTTAAAAAAATATTTTTTAAAATTTTTAATTTTTTTAAAAAAATTATTTAAAAAATTAATTATCAAAAATATTAATGAATAATTTAAAAATATTTTTGACAAAATTATCACAAAATTTTTAAAATTTGTAAAAAATATTTTTTGTATAATTTCTTTTGACAACACAAAATAGGAATTCACGGCCTACAAAAAAGAGCTAGAAAATGACATGGTTCGAATCCTGGAACAAGCGCCTGGATTAGCCCGAGTTCACATTTTGAACTTTCAAACGACCGATCAGGGCTCAGAAGCCAGGTTGTACTTATGGCTCGTAAAAGCACGATTTTGCGTATTTCTCCGCAGAAAAATCGTCCCAAATGAAGCTTGAATGTCAAAAATTATTTCAGGTTGAATTTCTTCTTTTACAAAAAAGACACCGAAGAGGCCGAGGAAAAATCGTCACTGACCCTTTCCGAGGCTTTGACACGCTGGTTCGAGCTTGAATGGGTGAAAGAAAATTACGAAGCAGCGAGCAAATTTGGCACTCCCAAAGTTATGGCAGGTAATCCTTGTTGATTTATTCGGCGAGATTGTATTAAAGCCGTTCATTAGTTGAGGACTTAAAAGCGGAAGAAATTGTCAAGGAAGCGATCAAGGAGGCGCAGGAAAAAGCAGCCGATTCCTCAAGTTCTTCAAGCAGCGACGACTCAAAATCATGTTGTGAAGACCAAGCTGCTCAGGAAAATGACAAAAATTTTGTCCTAAAAATAATTAACCACTTTCAATTATTTCAAATATTGTTGAAATTGGCATCCAAAAAAGGAACCTGAAGAAAATACCGAGCCCGTTCCCGAGCAAAAGTCTGAACCCGAGCAAGCAATCGTCGCTGAACCAACACAAACCTCTGAGCCCGAGCCTGTGCCAGCCGAACCAGAACCAAAACAGCAAGAAGAAGCCGAACCAGAGCAAGAAACACAAGAAACTCAAGAACAAGAAGCCGTCAAATGCGATTCAAAATCATCATCAAACTCTTCGTTGTCTTCAAATTCCTCCGGGAGCTCTAAAAAATCCCAGAAACTATCATTTCTAAAAAGAGATTGGCTAGCTTGCTGTGGAACCAAGGAACCAGCGGCGCCAGTTCAAGAAAAAGCAGTAGAAGAGAAAATTGAAGAAAATGTAAATTTTGTAGTTATTTGCTACTTATTTCTTGAGCGAATTTTTCAGGTCGAAGAATCCCCAGAAATAGAGCCAAAGAAACCGTCTTTTTTCCAGAAAGATTGGTTCGCCTGCTGCAGCGGTGAGAAAAAAGAAGATCTAGAAGGAAACAAGCAACCAGAAGAAAATGGAAAGCCCGAAGTTTTGCAAAAACTCGACGAAGCAGTCGAAGATCTTCAAAAGACCCAAGAACCAGAAGCAGCCCAAGAGCAGGAAAAATCAGAAGAAATGGTAAAAACTGAAGAACCAGAGAAACAAGAGCCCGAACAAGAGCCAGAACCAGAACAAGAAACGAAAGATATAGAAGTTGCTGAAAATGCCCCAGAAAAAGAACAACCCAAAAAAGGTTATTGCATTACTGTCATCTCTTCCTCAATTTAATCATCTTTTAGAGTCGACCTTTGGCTGTTGCGAGCTCAGAAAACTCATCCGAAAAACAGAGCAAAAATCAGAAGAACCGAAAGCCAAAGAACCAGAAGGACCAGAACCAGCTGCACCGGAAAAAGAAGAAAGCAAAACAAAAATGACCTGCTGCGGACTCCGCCAAAAATCAAGCCCCGCTACTGACAAGCGAGAACAATCAGAAGACCCGGTAGAACAGAAAGAATCGCTCATCGAAGTTCCCAAACTCGAACCAATCAAAGAAGAATCAAGAACCGGATCGGAGCAGCTAAAAACCGACATCGCATCTGAGCAAGTTCAAAAATCTCAAACCACCAAATAATGCCTCAGTTTACCACTTCTTTTTTCCTACTAACT